AAATTTAGACTTAATTTAATTAATTAAGCAGATAAGTTAGGCAAATAGATAAATGTAATTGATTATTTCAGAAATGCTTCCATTACCAGCATCAGGTCAAATTATAAGCTGTAAAAGTGCTTGGCAATGGACGTGTAATAACGGTGAATGTATTGCACAGTATGATTTATGCAATGGTATAAGACAATGTTCTGATGGATCAGATGAGATTGACTGCGAACACAGGTAATATTTATTGATTTTTAACTTATTGCATGAATGATAAGAAGTAATTACTTTATTTCAATTTTTTTGAATCGTTAAATAGTTATTGCTAATTGGTAATTGATAGTGAAATATTTTAAGAAGGATCTTCTTAATTTATTACCATTTGTTGCATTTGTAGAGATTGGCATAATACTGTGAGTGAAGAGGAGATAAAGTCTACAGTGCAATCAGTAACTTCAGTGGATAAGATTAATCCTATAAGTCCATCTGTTCACTTTAATTTCCAATGGATTTTTGCATTAGCATCAGTGTTTTTCATAGTACTGTTATTAATAATTGTAATTCGTCGTAGACGACAGCAAAGTTTATCTCGAAATAATCGAGCATATGGAATACAACGAAGTTTACATTTGGGCGTGAATAGCGGCGATGAAGAAGACGATTTACTAATAAGTTCACTCTATTCCTGAATTTGATTTATTTATCAAGTACTAAAGACTAGACACTTGATACTAGACACGCTGTTAGATCCAGCAGTGGAAATCGAGAAGTTCTGTATGCTTGCTAATCTGTGTAATGACTGTGTTATGTATAATAATTGCTTATGTCTAGTGTTTATAGTTCATTGTTCCAGTTTTCTTGTTACTTCGAATGACTTGACTACTTTTCTTTCTGCATTATTCAGTTCTTCATTCTCTGCTGAATGCTGAATGCTAACAATGCTTTTTTGCTAATTAAAGACATTGTGCTGCGTTGAATAATAATTCGACATATAAATTACTTCCATAAAAGTTGTAGTGACAAAGGACTTTAATTAAAAGCAAGTTCTTTTCAATGACTGTTTTGCGTCATGCAGCACTCATTTCCATGCTTATCTTCTTAATATTAGGCATGTATTTATTACTAATTTGTTTGCAATATATAGATGAATTTAGAAAAAATACGTAGATTGTACATACCATAATTTTACAGTAAGGATACTTAGACCATTAATTTCCTAAACTTTGTATCCAAATTATACTAAGTTCCGAAATATACTAAGTTTTCAGTTTATACTACGTTTTCATATTTTTATTTCCAATTTGACTTTTTTGAATTGGTACATTCATATGCCATTTTTCCATGTATCTGTTTCTTCGTCATAACCATCTAATGGAAATTTACGACATCTTCTGAATATATATCTTCTTGCCACATCACCACGATGTAACTCCCATGTGCTTCACCTTTAATCATATCATCAGAATGGATTCAGTGTGTGCAATACTTTTCTTTATGCACTTTGGATTATCATTTCAACTACTTTGAACTGATATTTGATGCACTTAGATTATCATTTCAACTATTTTGAACTGATACAGCATGATTTACATTTCACTTTTATATCTTAATATCATTTCTTGAGATATTTACTCGATGCGTCTGTCTTATTATTTTTTATTTCTCTCAACAATTACTGAATTAGAATATTTACTTCTGACTCAATTTTGTTTTTGCCTCATACATTATACAAAATAGATTTTGATAAAGTTTACACAAAATTGTTTCTAGCCGCTCAAAAATGCAAAAATATTTGTTGATCGAACTTAAAATTTACAGAAAATTTAATATTCCTTGAATCTGGACGTTACAATGAGTAAACTGCACAGTGCTTTATATCTGATGATTCATCACAACTTGAAAGTAATTTATTAAAATATATAAATGAAATACATATTGCTTCGATAATGATATATAGAAGCAGTAACACACATATACATATTACGAACGAGAAATAGCGAGATAAATTAGCAAATATATATTTACATTATAATGATAATATCCTATTGCAGAAGAACAAAGATTACGTCACAAACTCACAAACTTTACGTAATAACAAACAATGCAAAAAACAGTAGCACGTAAAAGTGTAATTACGGCTTATAACAAAACATAACTCGTAGATTTAAATGTCAAGAAAATTACCTCAAATAGAACGATCAATGCAACACATTACAAAATATGAATTTGTTGCACAAAGTATAACAGACCAACGATGGCTAAATAGCTTTTGTGATCGTTAAAAACTGTCTCTCTGCCAAAAGTTTTGGAATTTTGCTGCAGTGCGTATGGATATTTTATTGTTCTTGTTAGCCCGAGGTGATTTAAGATGCTATTTGCTATTTGTTGAGCATATATCATACTATATGTATGTAAGACATACGTAGAATGAGATGTTTTTATTTCTTTTCAATTTTGTTTGCTATTCAGGTTTGTAAAACATTTTGGTACTGATCACGCCGCTCAGTTTGTTATTTGAGCAAAAATTTAGCTAACGAAGTTTTTCATTTTAGAGTTACTTTGATAATTATCAACTAATAATTGCCACTTTTAATTTTTAAACCAAATAGTTGTAAGATTCATTTTTGATCGTTTTTCAAGAACTTAAAATTACAGAGGGGATATGAGAGCTTATTTACCTTTATTTTGTTCTTTTCATAAAGTAGAGTGACTAAGTCTGAAGTGAAATTCTTTTACAACTTTTAATATTACATTTGATGGGAAGAAAGCGTATAACACAAAGGCATTGTTGAAACTGCAAATTTAGAGAAGTGGGAGAATTAGTATTATTTTTTCTTAGTTGACTTATTGGCAGCTATCGATCCTTTTATGAAGAGTACATGAAAGTCGCTCATGAGATCGAATGAAAATATTTTGTATATGACATTTATTGGTTGTGATGAATACGCAAGAAGTTTTCTTTCATTTGTTAGTTGTTTATGAATTAACAGTTTTGAGTTACTAGACACTTGAAAGTGTAATCAGTGAGAACAATGATATTTTGCAGAAACATCTTCGGAAAAGCACTCGTGGATCAGATTCTAAGATGTTTCTTAAAACTGATGTTTCTGATGAAGATGATCAGTGCGATTCCGTTCCGTCGTATGTTCTTTATTTACTTTATGAAGTTCCGATTTTTATAAATTTTATGGAGATGATAATCTGTATTACCTCTTGTAAGTGTTTGTAGTTGGATATTTATTGTTTTTTTTTTCGTTCAGTTGACTTTCATATTTTGCTATATTTATGTACGTCAGCATATAAATTAAATATTGTAATGACGCATGAGTCTAAGTGGAATAATCTTTATTCTCTGCAGCAGTAGTTCAGAAGAAGACAAAGAACCGTTGAGTTTCATTGCTGATTCGTCAGACCGTGTATATTGGCCACCTAGAGAAAGCACTGCATCAGTTGCACCTTGGTGTCGCCGAAAATATTCTCTTTCTTTTTGTGGGTAAAAATCAGTTATTATCTTCATTAAATTACGAAAATGCAAAAACAAGTTGAGAAGGTTAATCAACAATTTATCAGCTTTTAAATAGAACCAACTGAAAGTGGAATAAGTTTCAAATAATATACATTTGATAAGTTTAAGATGAGACTATTTCCAAATTTAGATTACATGAAGAATTAATTGATTTGTATGAGTGGTTGAAACCATCGCCACTTGAGAAAGCTCTACGATTCTGTGTTTTTGAACGAGTTCGCGAAGTTCTTCAAAGAATCTGGCCAACAGCGAAAATTGGTATATTTGGAAGTTTGTACACCAACTTATTTTTGCCTTCATCAGACATCGATGTTTTTGTGGAAAGTGACTCGTTGAGTGAAGATTTGCTTCTTCAGAAAACAGCAGAAACTTTGAAGTTTGTATCTTTAACTGGACATCCAGTGTGCAAATTCAATCAGTTTATATTTATCCATAAGTCTGTAAAGTAAATAAAAGATGTTCTTTAAGTCTTGTATTGTAAACAGTTTTTTGACAATCCAAGGACAGTAATTCAAATACTGGAAATTGAATAGTTTGAGTATGAATTATTTTGTAAAATTTTAGAGGATGTGCGTTCGTAAAATCTATATATGTTCTAAACAAAGCGTTTGTACCTATTGTAAAAGTGGTCGACAGAGATACGCAGATATATCTTGATATATCTTTCAACACTTCTCACGGTATTCGTGCTGCTCAGTTAATTGAAGAAATGAAAATACGATATCCTGTATTGGAGCCTTTGGTATTAATTCTAAAGCAGTTCTTAATGCAACGGAATTTAAATCAGGTCTAAAAGTTTTTTTGCATGCATAATACAAATCCACTATTTGTTTGACAATTTTTCAATTGCATACGATATCATGTGTTCTACATCAGGGAGAAAAGTTTTTTACTTATTGATTAAAAATTTATCATAATTTTTCATTTCAAGTTATTTTCTATCATTTTACTTGCAGGTTTTTAGTGGTGGATTGTCGTCATATGCCCTCATTTTAATGTCAGTTAGCTTTCTTCAGGTATTATTTTAAAGCACATTTTTAAGAGACAGCTCTATAGATCGATTTGTAAATCTATGATTATATCGAAATTTCGGTATACTTGGTTCTGATCATATAATAAATTTTATTAGGATTGTATTTGCTTATATAGATGCATAAATAGTATGTTATAAAATTTTGGTAATTGCAGCTGCATCCATCATACGATTATACATTTAAATCAATAAAAGAAGTGAACATGGGATTGCTTTTAATGAGTTTTCTTCAACTTTATGGACAAGAATTTAATTATATGCAAACTGCTTTAAGTATTCGCAATGGTGGAGCATACGTTAGCAGAGACAGAATTTTAGCACAGATGAGCAAAACATCTAATTCTATGTTGTGCATTGAAGATCCTCTATTACCAGGTGATAAACCTTATTTTGAAACTTCAATACTTGAGTAATTATATTCAATTAAAGTAATTTTATAATATGTTGATGCATGCAGATAATTTTTTATTTTGCTTTTGGAGATTTATTTTGCTTTTACTTTTATGTGTAAAATTGGGATTACTGTTATTATTTGCTGCTGTCATTAAGAATGTTTTCAAGATAACGATATCGGACGTTGTTCGCATAATATCCAATTAGTGCGACAAGCCTTTCAACATGCTCTATCTACGTTATGTTCTGTGTTTATCAAGTCACGTGAACATTCTGCTTTATGGCGCTCCAGTTACTGCGGTTCAATTCTATCTCTTATTCTGCATATACCATCTCATATAATCTACTATCGAAATTGGTTAAAGGGGCGTGTTGTATCAGATGAGTCTTCACCTCCACTATTGTCTGATTCTTCTTCACCGGAATCTCTTTCACCTGTATTTCTGAGTTCTTCTATCATTCCTCACTCTCTAAGCCGGAGTTTTTAAGTTATTCTTTGACTTCAGAAAATTTTCTGTCTAAAAAGGCTAATTTTATATTTAAATATGTTAAAATTTCCAGCTATTTAGTACTCTTCATTGCAAGAAAACTTTAAAATTACATGAAGTTATTTTCATTTTACTTTAGGTGAACTCTTTTCTGATTTAAAAGTATAAAAGTCATTTCTTATGTTTTGTTTCTTGTTGCTGCGCTCAGAATATAATTTTTTGCTCATTTTTTATAATGTGATGCAGCAATCCATTTTTCATCAAATTCAGCCATAAACAAGCCAAGAATTTGATGCAAAATTATAAATCATGTATTTTATATCGGTATATTTTTAATGATTTTTTTGTGATTAGCTGCTGATTTTGAACGGCTGTATATGTAAAGATTCTCGCTGATTTTTGTGCACTTTACCTTTCTGGAATACGGGACAAGATATTTAAATCGATGAATTATCATGTAGATATGTTATAGATTAGTTACTTTACATCGTTTTAATTTGCTTAACAACAGCGATGTTTTATATTTCGTGTCATACATCCGTATGGTGCTTGACAGTGCTCATGATCAAAGGTGCTCTTCTACTTTTCTATATTGTTTTATATTTGTGGACTTTCCGAAAATAATTCCTTATTACAGGTTTTGCTGTTTTATATTTGATTTACTCATCCATTATTTCTTCACTACTACCTGTTATTAGAACGTAGTGCTTGTGAATTTTTGTTTCCGGTTAGTATTTCAATTCTTTTTTAGTGGCTGTTTTTGGTAGTTTATTGACTCCCGTAAATTTTTTTTGCTCGCTTTTTCATTGGATATCAAATAAAACTTTTTTTTTTGTACTTAGTTTTTGAGAACACTGTTTTAGCGAACAGTTGGTATTATATTGATTTCAAGATTCTTGTCCTAATGCGTAGTAGATATTTAATTGTGGTATAAGTATCAATTAGAACTTTTTTCGTTGCAGAAAGTATTATATTTTGTATTATTACTACGTCTTTGGTAATATTTCTATTCGGAATATTTTTTGAATACATTACGTGCATGATAGATAGATCGGTATGTTTTTTCAGGCTTACTTTAAACATGGAGCCATCGAACTCTGAATTAAGCATGCCAATTGAATCTTCTTCAACGCTTGCTTCACATTCCTCTAATTCATCTCAAACTGAGATCAGAGTTGAGGTTTGTTTCGTTTTATTTTCAATTTTAGTTGTTCTGTTTAATTTTGTCCATTCTTTCGACAATAGAAGTTATCTCTTATCGTGCTTGAAAACCGCTTCTGTGTTTGCATCTTCTATGACTTGTTTTAATCAAACTTTTGTCAGCCCCATTTTGAAGCTATAAATACATTGTTATGAGTACTTATGTGTTTTCAAAGAGTTTAAGCTATGAATAATTGTAAAGGTCAAGCCTTACAGTCTTCATTTTTTCAGTATTAAAAATGTTATATAGCGAGTTCAAGTGTTATCAAGTGTTTTTCGAAACACGGTCAATTTTTTGCAAGTTTTTAGTACTTCTATTCATATCTGAACTAGGCTACACATTATAATATAATTTGGAAGTTTGTGAGCAGAAAGAAGGCGTGTACCTAAAATAAATTCTTTAATCAAAGTTATTGTCTTTTTACAGCATGTGAAGCATAGCTGGACGGTGAAGAATTTTTCACATTGTTATCAAGAATATTTGGAAAATTTTGTTCACCTTCATCGCGGTGAAGACACACTTACATGGTCGATTAAAATTTATCCCAAAGGCAATGGCGAAAATAACAAAGATTTCGTTTTCTTATGTCTTAACAGAGTAGTCAGTAATACGAATGCACCATGCAAAAACGGAAAAATTGGCTTCAAGTCTCGGTATGTGAAAATAATCTTTTTGTCATAGATAACTCGCAAAGTCTTACTCAGTAAGTCAGTTTCACGTTGTAATTGTAAACCCCATTTCATTTATAAGACATGTGTTGGATGTAGTATTAGTAATCTCAAAACTCGTCTCAAAAACTTGAGCTTCAGACATTTATCATTTCACATCTTAATGACGACATTATAAAATTTTTTGCTCTCTCATTTTTTACTTTGTCAGCTTTATCTTACGAACTAGCGAAATGAAGGAGATCGAAATGCGTATTCATCCGAATCCCTCTCATTCTGATTACGTTTCATACATAAAACGAGATATTTTGTTTCCTCAAATATTGCCGAATGATTCAATTATTGTTAATGTCGAAATTGATGTAGCTGTAGAAACCGTTACGACGACACTGGAGGAGATGTTAACCGTGAGTCTGCTGAATCTTCGTCGGAAATTTTTACTACGAAATTGCGATGTATGATTTAGTTCATGTACGGTGTATTCCTTTTCCTTTCCCCCTCAAAAACGGTTTTTGATTGAAAAGGGAAGAAATAGTTCTCATGTCAGTGAGCAATGGTTCTTTAGTTGTATTTGAATGAATTATTTTCAGAGTAACAGCGAGCAGCAATTGACTGAAGATTACCTAAAGATGTTGAAAGATGATGTATTGACTGATTTTACCATAAGAGTAGGAGAACGTGAAATCAGAGTGCATCGTGCCATTCTCGCAGCTCGGTCACCGGTGTTTGCAGCTATGCTAAGGCATGAAGACACCAATGAAGCTAAAACAGTAAATTGTTTAATATTTAGTGAATTTTAATACGACTTTCTTATATATATATACTAAGTTTTCAAGTTCTTTTATTCTAATTAAAATCTAAATAATGTCTGCTATTTAGGGTGTAATGGTAATTGAGGATTTGGAATACGATACAGTTACAGAAATGCTCAATTTCATTTACTGTGGACACTGTTTAAGGGATGTAAATGAGTTTGCCTTTGCTTCTGATTTGCTGATTGCTGCAGATAAGTACCGATTGGAAGAATTGAAAAGTCATTGTGAGAAAGCTTTGATTCAGGTCTGATCATTGATCATTTGTAAGTATAAATTGTGTTTAATTATATGTCACTTTGTGTTGCATTGATTTTAGTGGCATCAAAGATATGCATAAGTTAAAAAGCCGAAGTCAGCTATGAGAACGTAGAGTTTGATTAGGATAATTCCATCTTAGAGTTGGCATTTTTTTCGCGACGGAAACATCTGGGAATTTTTCCTTTTTTTGTTGATTTTTTAATGTACCGTTTACATATCTGCAGGCACTGACATTTGAAAATGTTTGTGAATTGCTCATCGTTTCGGACATCTACAGTGCACCGCGTTTGAGACATCGTGCTGTAGAGTTTATCATTCAGCATCCGAGAAATATTACGTCTACACCAGGTTGGGAGAATGTGGTTAAGCAGCACCATGATCTTGTTACTGACATCGTCCGTCACTTTGATAAGTCATCGTCATCTGACAGAGGAACCTCATAGAAGATAGAGCAAGTATATTAATTACTTTGTTCATCACATAAATAAATTGACTGTGATTACTTGCTTTGAACTTGCAGAGACTTACGTTTCTTGCCTTATTCTAGGTTTATGAAAACTTCTTGCAGTTTTAATTTTATATGGGACGGTGAATTTCCTGTTTGATTCGAAGGATTTAAATCAAATGTTCTGATTTTTTTACCATTAAACATTGTTACAAGTCGTGGTATCGATTTGTTTGAAGAGTCTTTGAGAACTAAGGGTATGTGAAATAATAATTCATAATTAATAGAGGTTTACTAATGTGAAATCAAATGTCAAAGTGCCAAATTTTTTTCGCGCTTGCTTTACGTTGGGTGTACATATTTCAGAAGACGCACACTGGAGATTTATGTATGTGGAAAATTCTTAAGGTAATTCATTATTTAGAAGAACCAAGATTCATCCCGGCTCTTCTCATTGAAATTAATCTATAGCAACACGAATTAGATAAAACAAAAATTTCCCTTTATACCTGCATACGTATTTAGGTTTTACTTATTACTGTCAACAGATTGTCTTTTAACTGACGTCTTATCTCTCAATGAATTTTTGATTGTGCTGAATCTCAAATGAGTACAATTTATTCACTTGTATAAATTTGCAGATGATAGGGTACTGCATTTGTGAAACTGACATGTACTTTATGTAGCGCTCTTCAATAAATCTGCAAACAATGTCGATGTTCTGCTTCAGAAAGGGATAGCTCCCATGTACTCCACATCTATTTTTGTATGTCATTCATAGACATGCAACAAGATGTAGTTACGCATGTCATAATTTCCCTCACATATTCTAATCAAAATTAAATTCCTTTACACATAACCAAAAACTTGGGATATTAAGTCTCTGGTTGCGTGTCCTCAGCCGACTACACTAACAACTTCTCCATCATTTTGTAATTGCCACCTAATTTCATCGCAGGAATAGTTAACTTTGGGCACGCTATCAAACGAGTGGTGAGAGAAGAGTCTTCTAATTACTGTGATACACAACTGCTAAACTGCTAGGTCCTGAGTTGACGAAAACGTAAAACACAACTTCAAGTAACAAATTTAGCGTCCAAGTCTCTTCAGTTACTTATTTCCTTATTTGGTAAAAATGACAATCGCCAATTAGAAATCGCTGTTCCTTAATAATCGTTCCAAATGGAGGAGGCCCTCTGTATATAATCTTCTTTTAAAGCCACTGAAAAGCACAATGTAACACTAAAACAGTTGGATATGAAGTCATTGGCCTACTTTTCACACAATGATGATATAAAGAATACAAGAAATTAGAGACCGGTAGATAGCATAGATATACAAAATCTCCTGAATAGATTACAGCATCTGAATCTGCTATAGTTTGTAGAGCATTTATACAGACATCTTTATAACAAATTGAAAAGTACTGAATGCAAAAAAAAATTACTGAATATGTTGATACAAAGTAATTATATTTCGTTTCAAAAATCTTATTAAATACTTTCATGTATCTCCCACTACATATTACCAAAAAATTAGCACCATATATATACTCGACAAATAACAAAACTTCTACAGCTGCAAATTCTAGTCATAATTTAAAATACCCGTATTATTTAGTGATGGGAAATAAGTTCTAATGTACTGAACACATAAAATTCCCTATATAACCAGATATTGTTTACGATGCACCCAATGTCTTGAAATCTGTATAAAACTAAGATTTATTCATGTTCTGATCCCGAATCCTCCGTATAATCAGATGAGTCCTCCATTTGCTCTTCTTCGTTCGAATCGTCATATTTGATTAAAGGCACCTCTTTCGCTTCATGTACTTCCAACTAAAATGAAAAAATCTCTGGAAAGATGCTGCTTATTCTTGTGCTTTCATGCTACATCTCTTTATTTCCTATTTTAATTTAAGTATAGTTCACAAGAAAAATCTATATAGTCCTGCTTTAATAAATTTCATGCTGCTTTTGAGCTTCCTTTTCTAATAGTTCAAATTATAGGATCAAAGAGAAATGTTTACGGACGGTGCTACCAAAAACTTCTTGACAATACTTTTTAAATTAGCAAAAAAGAAACCTTAAGATCAAGCGAATAGTCGCAATCCATATAAGAATCTGATTTGACTAATAAATTATAATAATAAATTCCTTTGTGCTGAGGCGCTGCAAACTTTATTTCAACCTGAAACTAATGACAGTTTGGCGTGCTGAATTGAATGTAGTAATATCTTAATAAATATATGTAAATTATTCTCAATACGACTTTATCTTCATTTGAAATATTCTGCATTGCACTTTATGCTAGTAGTAACAACCTTGCTAATAGAAGAATTACAGTCCAGTGTTCAATAAACAATGCAAATGAGACGAACCGTTTGTTCCGTTACAAGAGTTGTGCAATGCGCTGCTGGTACTACTAATTTTCGAAGCTTCTTATCAACAAGTAATAACCACCACCACTCAAATTTCTCGCCTGGAAAATATGGGCAATGCACCGGATGAGTTTTTTTACTTTTACTCTCCAAAAACGATTCTTTTTTAACAAAGTTTTCATTAGCCCAATTCTCGTTGTCAGATTCTTCTGCATCAGACCTTTCGGGATTACTGTCGTTTTCCTTCTCGTTTTCTCTGTAAGAATTAAGTACCTTAGTTTATCTACCTAGAACCTTTAAAACTAGACTTCAACATATAGAATACTTTAGTAGGAAAAGGCATTAGTATGAAAGTTAAGACAGAATCTCACTTTAGCCCACCTACCAATAAAGCAAATGAGAATGACAATCAGAAAATTCATAACAGAACTTACTCCCCAACATCTCCTTTCTCTGATCCACTCGGTCCTTCGTTTTCACTATCATCACTAGTAACTATATCACCATTTGTCTTTCTTTCCTTTTTTTGATCTTCTGTTTTCGTTTTGTCCTCCTCTTTTTTATTCATAAATTTTTTTACTAATTTCGGCTTTTGCCCCTGCCGATTCCTCACTATTTTTGCTTTATTCTGCTTTTTTTTTGGCTTCTCCCAAATTTTTCTTTTAGGTATATTACTATCTTTCTCTTCGTTCGCTTCTTCTTCATCAGCTAAGGCCTCTGCCGCTTCTCTGTCCTGCCAAAAATGTCTGTATTTGTATTTGAGAAAAAATTAGTTAGATATTTCTTTTAACTACCTGAATTTCATCTTGGAATTTGATAGGTAGACTGACTTGAACTGCTATGTTAATAATGAAAAGAACAATATTTGACTGGGTAAATACAAAAGAATCTCAAAGAAATGATACCTTCTCATAAATTTCACGGACTTCTTCTTCTCGCTTATTCGAATCTAATAAAGGACTTCTTGTTAAAATAATTTTCAGCGTTACTACGGATCCAACAGTCACTTCTTGTGCATCGTCTTCACCTTGCACTGCGAAAATCTCAAAATTTTTACACCAAAAAAGTACATAGTATACCAAGAACTAGTCATTTGTTTACATATGATGAACATTACACAACAAACTGTTAAATATCAACTAACCCTCAAAATGAGGATCAATATTCAATTTTGGCATTGACTGCAGGACAAAAATAACATCATTATAGTCAGCATCACTTAATGATTGCATCACTTGACGACGTTTGCTTTCGTTCAGATTTGCGAGATCTGAACATGTAATTAGACGGTTCTGAAAATAATAATTATCCAAAATTAAATCACATTTAGGTCTTAATACAAAAACTTAAACAAAATTTCAGTCGCTTCCAAGTGTATTAAATGAACAAATTGTATCTGACAAATATCACTTTGTTAATTCCTTCTTGAGATTGAGAAAAATTAAATTAAATACTCAAAACCCCACATGAAAACTGGATTCATGAAATTTGATAAATACTTAGATGGTAAAGGACGGTACACTCGATAACTAAACAAACATTTCTTCAACAACTGAAATATAGAAGCAATTTCAATTGATTGTAAATCAATCTTCTTATAGATTAAAAATAATGGAAAATTTATCAATAACAATGTCGTTTACCCGACGAAAATGGTGCAGATTTTGCTCTGTGATATGTGGTAACTGCAATAAAGGACTATTTTTAGGCCACTGTGCCTGAACAATCATAGGCAACAATTTTGCTAGGTTTTCTATAGTATCCAATGATGGGCAACGAGCAGGATTTCCATAAAAGCATAAATGTTGGGCAATAGTCAACATTTCATTAGTAAGCATTACACATTTCGAAATCACATAAGCACTATCTGAAATTTCAAAATTATAGTAGTTCGCCCCTATTTCTCCAATGAGAAAATTAAATTATTTGTTTAAAAAATGATAAATCTATTTTTATATCATTGTGAAAAAATTGTTCCTAAAATTTATATTGAAAACTATGGCTGATACTTATGAATCAACTTGACATCCAAAATTGCCAATCAAAGGGTTTTACCATTTCTTAAATTATGTGAACTGAGTGGAAAACGAGACAAATGAGCATGTATAAAGAATCGTGCTTTTAAGGAATACGGCAAACAAAGAGGCCGCTCTTTCTTATTTTCACTCAAATTCTTGAACTGTTTGATCAATGGTGGAAGCTCAATATCATCACTCTCACGTTCAACAATTTCCTTATTATACTGTTTCCAAAATTCAAATGAACCACCAAGAACCATCAAAATACCTGCAAAAATTATAGCTCCCATTAAGTTTAGAGAACATATGCTTATTTTTGTGGTCTTCATTGATAATTTTAGAAAGAGTAAGCCGAAATGAAGAAAATTTAATAAAATGCACAATTACATAAACTTACGATTGATTTCCATTTTTGGAGTTTTATGAAAGAAATAGTAATACATTTCAGTTGTGTCCAAAAGTACTTGATCTACACTATATTTGATAGAATTATACCACCAAAATCCCTCAAAAATGAAAATGTAAGATATGAGCTTCTATAAAAGAACCAAAAATGATCTTTGTATGATATGGTAACTACAGCTACTAAAAAGGAACACCTACAACGGCTGAAGGAAGTAGGACCATTAGCACAAAGCCATAAAAACCAAGCACCCAAACACCGTATTCCTTACTGACTATCCATTTCGGTAGTGCAATACCAAAAGTTGTGGCTAAAAATCTTCTAAGCAAATGAATTATAAGAAGCACTGCTTTAGTACCTCACTGTGTTAAAACTTACTGTTAGTTTATTTAGATTCTTCTATCTTAAATTTTTTAATAGAATCAACAATCAAATATATAAACTAGACAATGACTGACCAGTCGGTCCATCAGGGTTACCGTATTTTTCCCAATTTTCTCTACTTTCTTCATCTGTTAATGCTTGATATGCTTTGGCAATGCGATTAAACTGTACGGGATCACCCCCCTTATCTGGATGCATTGTTTTACTAAGTTCACGATACTTCTTTTTTACAAGCGATATGGGAGCTCCCTTAAAATTATTCCAGTTTTTCTTTCGATTAAGACTGATAGAATATAATAAGTACTGAATATTTGAAGAACTGTTGTACCTACTCATGACATATAACCTTTATATATAGTATAAAGCCCATTTCCAACATCCATATTTTGTTTCAGACTCTTGAAAATAAGATGAAAAATAATCGTCCTCTTCTTTTAAAACTTTTTTCTAATGTCTAGCATTTATGAGCGTAAAGTGAAATATCTAGTTACGGTTATTTTTTAGTCATTTTACACGTCAAAAAGATAAGAAAAATTACCTGATCAATGCCTAATATAGCGTACGGATCGTATTCAGAGTATTCTACTTCAATTTGCGTAACCTTACGGACAATAATGAAAAACATGACCCACGCTACAGCCAAAGCGAAAAAAGTAAGAATTTTTTTCGTTCGCCGCCACGGTCGCTTTGTCTCTGCTTTGATACGTTTTTCAGCGCATCCTTCACAACAGCAGTGTTCCTTTCTTTCCGTTGAATCTAAAAAATTCAAGTAATTAAGATAATGTACTACCTAATAAATTCTCACAACAACCTGATATCTGCAAAGTGATTAATTACGATTTCTAATGAATAAAATAAAACTAAATAAATCATATGGGTTCTATCGGAAATACAGTTGTTATGAACATCTGACTGCAAACAAACGTTTCACTAAAAAATGATTGAATGAATTTAAAAGACATTAAAAGAGCAAGAAAAAGTTGCTCTTAAGCAAAAATTCCATATCTTTCAATTTATTGCAATCTGTGTTTTTGCCCAACAAATGTAATCTCATATTGAAAATACTATTCCAGCTAGTTATCATTCTATCTACAATCTTATTTTTCAATACGAGATTTATTAATTTGTTTCTATTGAACATATAAATGCAACCCTCAGAACAAAAAACGAGTAACGTTTTTCGAAAATGAAGGATGCAGGCTAGAACATATGCACATACAGTACAAAAAATAATCACGGAACAAAAAACCAACATATGCATACAGATCATAATTATGAAGAAATAATTAGAAATTAAGAGAATAGTGATATAGAAATTTGGTAATTCAATTTCAACAAAGCTAATTTAAAAGCAATCCAATTCTGACTACTTAATGAAAATGAATAATTTGAGAAATATTTATGTTGGCAAATTTCAACTATATATAGCCCTGCTGTTGAAAAATAAAGGTGTTGAAAAACAAATGTGAAACAAAATTTTTAAATCGAATCTACTACTTTTTGAAAATTTAAATGCGTATGTCGATGCAAATTATCAAAAATGAGTTCATTAGATGTAACTATTGTTTCACTGCAATAACTCGAATATTCTTTGTTGAGTTTGAAATTTTTTCGATCGAAAATACAGTTAGACTTACAGTTGAAAATTGGAAAGAAATTACTAACCTGATTTACTTGAAGGCCAGAAGAAAAATGTCGCTGGTATAAGGATTAAGGCGTAAAAAGATACTAGTACGTAATAGAAAGTGTTACCAACTTCATCATATTCAAACTGTGCGCGGCCCATTACCAAATTTCTGCAAATAACAATAGAAAATGTTAGACAAGCTGTGCACAATATAGAACTGATTCCTAACATTTTAACTGTTTGAAATCAGTACTGTTTTTAGCCTTTCTACAGCTCAAGATGTATTTAAATCAAAGCCAAAGAATATTATTCTCGTTACTTGAACTGGATAATTCTTGAGCTGAAATTTCAAGACTAAAGCTAACTAATGAAAAGATTGCCCTCGTGACATTTTTCATTATATCCCCTAACAGAGAAACGTCTCATTACAAGTGGCGAGTGATAGGTGTCAAATCGAGTAATCACTAGCTATCAGGCAAGCAAATCATAAAAGTATCCAACTTTATAGGTCAACTTGATGGAAATATAGTGTAGTGACAATACTTTTTAATTCGTTTCTGTTGACTGCCAACTGGAACTACAGTCACTTATATTGATGCTTCTTAGCACTACTGTAGACACTTTCAATAATACAGCAATATTACTCGCCAATTCCCAAATTAGCCTAAAAATCCGCAGACCTCTGTAAAAACCCTCAGCATAGTGTAATCCAGTATTTGTATTGACAGTTCGTCTCTATGTGAAAATTAATCATCTCAATATCTTAATACATTTCAGTGGTGTCTTACAAATGTGTACGAATAAGTGTCGTTGTTGAATTCTTAACTGACATCACTTCTCTTTCTTGTACTTTCGTCTCTGCTTGCACTATCCATTCATATCTGCGTATATCTAAAAGTCGGGTCAAAAGTCTTAATTACTTTTTTTGGTAATAAATCAGTCGAAGCTAAAAAAATCTCGGCTTTCCATTATTTGTAATGCTTGTTTTGTACAGTTCTTTAGTTTGCTACGTTAAACGTTATTTCTGCTCTTAGTGCACGTATTTAGCACGTATATTCAGATTCTAACTGCACTCAGCAACTAATACTTCTATCTTGGCCTTATCTCTTACTTCCGTTCAAATAATTCTAGGCTACATACTTGAAAAGTTTCAAGAATTAAAAGTCTCCTGGCTTACTTTTTGTAGTAACAAATGCTTTATTAAGACAGCTAGCTGAGTGTTTATAATTTTACTGACCAAAACATTTTATATATGGTTAGGATATGCATAAAATGCTTATTAAGTCGTTTAATGCTTCTTTATCGGGATGATTTCATAATATTATATTGGTATTCTTTCTCGTACCAATCCATTATATCTTACTTTTATATACTATTCTTATTCCATAAATGGTTAATTTTACAGTTCTGCCAGCTTTGCTACTAACTTACTCGTACCTTTACTTACTTATTGTATCATCCAGTTTTGCTTTTGTAACCAGAATTCTTTTGCAATATTGTATGTCTGATCCTCATTAAATTCATACTCTTTTTCCTTTCTCTCTCCAAGAACAATTTTAAATTCTATCCTTCGCGGCAAATATTGACATCAAACAACGACCTGCACATCAATTTCATCGATTTATTGATTGAGTCAGAGAAAGAGGGGCAATATTGTGAAGCAGAGAAGTTGGAGCAACACCGCTGAGTTACGCACTACATTGTGCTCTCTTGTCGAGACGCGTGTGCGGCGCGGCAGAGGTGTTTGTGAGATGTTGCTTCTTACCTTACCTATCTTTCCCGAGATTCCTCGACATGCCAAAGCAGCAAGTTCTCGTAAGGCTGAGGGAAAATTTTTCTATTTCTTAAATTAATAGTCCTTTAAATCACATTCATTTCATAGTAGCCTTCCACGCATTTATTCTTCGGTAATTAACTGTAAATATGTTTTTAATCATCAGTAGTTGCACCATAAACTGATTTGGTTACTACAGTTTTTCTTCTTGTTTATGCAACAAAAGTATTCATTTTTCAAGACTTGCTAAAGAAATTATTAACAACTTCATCAGGCATATACAGAGCCTGCTAATGTAATGCTAAATAATGTAATTACAAAAATAAAAATCCCTTCTGTTTGTTAAAATATTAATACCAACTTATATGAACATAAACATTCTATATTCACTAACAGTTTTTTTCTTTCACTATTCCGGAAACTCTTATTTTCTCATTGTTGTTATTCGCTGCAACCAGTTTTCTATATGCTTTCGAAAAAATTTTCTTTCCAATACATCAATCTAAATATTTTTTAAAATTTAAAACCTGAAACTAATTTTGCTCTAAAGTTTCAAACAAATGTTTACGAAATTTGTAACTGACCCTTACACAGAGATAAAGTTACTGCATGGTGCTGTGAAATTTTTTAACAAATTCCAAGTCGTAATGCAGAAATATCCACTTCCCATTGTTTTATCAGCCAAATTTTATACGCATTAAGCGTTATAGCAACTACCGTTTTTCACTACACGAATGTACTACACATTTGCTGCAAATTTATTAAATATTAAATATATTGTCTAAAAATAGACTTTTCCAGTCCTTCTCACATATATACAAAACGGCGGTTTTTTTTTGATTTCTATCATTTAAGCACGAAAAGACAAACGTCCAACAATTAGAAAGGTTGTAAGACGTCTGTTGATGAAGTTTAATCATGCGAAAAGCGTAACGAGAAGTCGTGATACAATAGTTCTTCTTTCAACAATTCGCCGACAGGCAAACCATCGGTTATACATTTTTTGAAATAAACACTGGCTGAAAAAGTTCTGCAAATTTTTATTTTTTGTCTGCTCGCATGATAATTTAATATAAAATGCACAAATTACATAATATACCTGCACTACTGATCTAAATTAAACGATTTTATACTCTCTTAGGATAATAATTATTTTAAATATAATTGTTTACATTTGCTGGTGAATTTCTGCATAAATCCTGATTGAACTCAAATTACAGTGATTAACATCTTCAGCTAAATATGTATAAATGACATTCATCTTAAATTACCAAACCAAGTTCTTTTATGACATTTTCTCGTGTAATACTCATTGGCGTCATTTTAAAGTTGGAATTTTATCGATTGGCTTATATTGAAATTAATGGTAATTGAACACTGCATCTAGAATCGTGACGGCGGTACCCCCGTTATACTTGTTTTTGAGTAATTATTTCTATTAGAATGATTTTAATGATAAATTTCTAAGTGAAGTTCAATTTGATTTTTACGAATTTAGAGGTCAAGATGTTGCCTTAGTATAGTGTGTTGGGTGCCAGGTAACGATTTTTTAGGTAAGGGGTTTGTTGTTTAGATTGTGAGATAGGGGTTTTTCATAATTGGGCGGTCGATTCTGACGTGCGGGATGAATTTTAACAGGGTAAAGTCAGTTGGATGAGATGAAGAAGTGAGCTGTGTACGTACAAGTTTCTTATTTCTTTTATAGGCTGAGGGTCAGGGTGTGAAAACTTGTGTGGTTGGTGGTGTGTATAGGGGCTGTATATCCTGGTCCTTTTGAAATAGAGAATAGGATGTCTGTTTTCCCTTTTAGGATATTGACATACTCCTGTATAACCGCATAATTGAGTTTACAGGGGTGTGGTCCCTCATAATATAACACCTTTAATAACTCATTTTCTGTTTCTTATTGCAACTAATAATTTCTATGAAACTAAATCGAAAGGTTATCACTTCTAAACTTTTTGAACTGTTAAAAAATATGCTAAATAATTAATTCTTAATCCAGAATTATCAAAATATTGCATTTGCGTTCATCTTGCATCTGGAATGTTTTTGAAAGAAAGGCGTTGATCTAAGAAACAGGAAGTATTGAATAATCGCGCATTATCATTAAATACAGACATCATCATCGGCCATCTCATTTTGATGGTTGAGCACAAGAAGATCAGCTAGTTTTATTTACTTCATTGTTGCTCAGTTTTTAATTTGCTTTGCGCAACATTCGTCTTCATATTTAAAATTTAACGAAATCAGTGAAAGCAAAACAATTGTTTCGCGAAAGTTAAAGTGGGCAATTGAATTATATTAAAAATGAAATGGGCAAAGTATGTGCACCATCGATATACATGCCTGCACAAGTTTGACCCTTCAAGGTGTGCATGAAGTGTATTAATAAATCAGGGCTAATACATACCTGGCCTGCTAAATTCACAGCCAAGCATTTACTAATGTAAAGTTTCTGTGATCTGGTATTTATTCTCTTCGTACTTTTTCATTTCATCGATAAGACTCTATTCAAATATATCGAGTTGATTTGAGAGAAATTCACTTATGACTTATCCAGTCTTACAAAAAGCCTAAGCTTGGTAAAAGTGCATGTGATCTTGTTCAGGCGTCATAGTCTTGACAACATCATGAACATAATAGCGAGTAATGTTAATTATTACTCAATAAAATTGGTCAAATAATGTTAACATGGCGCAGCATACTTTTCAGAAAAGAATGGGTTATTGATTGGCATATTTGTAGAAAAGTCGCTTGTGAATTTGATGTTACCAATATTAAGAGACGTGAGTAAGGATTAGTTGTAATTTAGGCAGTCTTAATGTCTTGGATAATTCGTTTGCAACGGTTGCCGTTATCGGCTAATGCGGCAGATATTCGAAGTTTTTTTGCGGGATTACGCATTCCGGATGGCGCAGTACATATCGTTGGTGGGCCTGATGGTGATGCGTTTATTGGTTTTGCCACAGATGAAGATGCTCGTCAGGCTATGCGATTTGATAATAGGCGTATACATGATCAACGCGTACGCTTGTTATTATCATCTCGTATCGAAATGGATGCTGTAATTGCAAAGGCTCGTGCTGGTGATTTGAATGTTGGTGTTGCAACAGTTGCTACTCCATCACCTAGACGTGATGAATCACCAGTTCCGCGTCCAGGTAGCGTGCAGCTTGCGTCCGCTTCTACAACCGATGGCTTTGCAAATCAGCGTATCACTCAACAAATTGTTACAGATGTATATGCAGCTAGAAATGGTGGACATGGACAACAAGATTATGCTAGAGGTACATTGATAGAAATTTTAAAAATATTCATCATCAAATTGTTCAAAGTTTTGGGTTCGATTACCTTACCAAATGAGTTGAAGTTTCTAATATTGAGATTGTGAAAAGTACCTAAATTCATTGGTAATGTTAATAGTAGAGATATTCTTCATCTATTTCGTCACTCTTAGTGGGGGGCACATTTATTAGGATAACAGTAAATGATTTGAAGCGAGAAACATGACTTTTTTGCTCTACCACAAAATCAGTATTTTCTTAATTTTGGCAAAACTATAAATTGTCCTTCACTAAATAACAGAGCACTGTAATGAAGAGGCAAACGATAAATTTAGCCTACAATGTTTATATTTAGAATAATAAACCTTGCATTCATTCTCATGGTGAACGAAGTGGGATGGTATTACTGTTATAAATTGTAATCTCAGGGTAATCATAAAAGCAAATGACTCGTTATATTTCTTTTTTGGTGGAAGATTTATCATATGATAAAAACGAGGTAAAAGATATTTACATACAAGGTCACTCAAATGGACTGTCATATAAATTGTCTTAAATATTTTTTTCTGCTAAATTACTTTCTGGTGTAGAGTATGCTAAGCATAACGTATTTATTATCAGTAGTGGAAATAACAGAATTAACTTTGAAAAAGACTTGTTACTCGCACATTATAAAAATTATTGCTGAAAGTTGGGGGTCAAAAAATTTCCATTTCATACACTTAAACTACTACATATATCTATGGTTACACATTCATTAAATAATTATTCTAGTAATTATTACCTCTGAAAGCTTAAATGCTCACTTATTTGTTACTCGAAGAGTTAAACTTTCTATGAAGAAATAAAATTCAATCTTGTTATATATTTGAAATTCATCCCAACTTTTGCCTTAGTGATTGGAGAAATTATTAGTATTGATTAATATCTGATTAAGTAACGTAAATTTATAACGATGGAGATTTCTTGCATCCTGACCTGTTCTTCCAAAGTTAATAAATTTGAAAAAATACTACACATTCAAATATTAAGCAGTGCATTTGGCATGCGTTGAGTATGCGCAATAATTAAATTTTGTTTTCGTTAGCGAGATCATATTTGCAAAGCATGTAAAAGCGCTTAAGAAATGAATGGTTGCATGTGTTGCTTTTTGTAAAGCTGTATGCAGTCATTTACCATAAGTTGAGCTTTAAACTGGGAGAAGGGAAGATTTATTCTACTCTTCTATTAAATGTTAAATGTTTTCAACACCTTAATGCTTTCCATCCCTTACATGGGAATGACGCAAACGTATTTTATTGTTCAGACTTCGAGGTAATATCATTCATTTATTACAAATTCAAATATAAGGTTTAATGAAAGTGTTACTATGCATAAGTTATAGCGCTGAATTTGATGGATAGTGAGGCGGTGTTCATGCCTTTTTAATGATTTAAATAAGGTTCTTATCAATACATAATTTCTCGAAGATATAATTTGTAATTAGTAGAAGTAATGAAGGTTTAGTCTGTTAATTGTACAATTGATTGCTCAGAATTTGGGTCCGCTCTCGTGTTTATTCTTTGATCACCAAACCATTTTGGATGGAAATATACAAAAGTAACCTTTGGTGATATTCTGCCAAATATGTTCCTGCACATATATGAGGGCATGCAGAAGTCAGTAAGAGCGCAAAGGTGTCAGTATGCGCTAGCAGCTGATTATATATTCATCCCCGGGACTAATTTGCACTCATTACCACAACTTGACATTATTTAGAATGCTCACATAGATCAACATCCTCCTGACTTCGTTCATTAAGATTTTATAGTTTAAATTAAAAATGATGAAGCTCTAAGGTGTGACTATTTATTTGAAAGAAGACATTGCTAAAATGTTGCATCTGAGGGGCATTAACATGTGTGTATTTAACGTTCAAGTCTGGGTCACATCTCTAACAGATCGCAAATCCAAATTGATATAATATGTGCACAACGCAAGCATGCAAGTTGTGTACTTACAGTTTATCCTCCCAATTCATTTCGCGCATGTTGCAACTCACGAACTCATGATAGAAGCATTGACTTTTACACACATTTATGAGACCTTTTATATGGAGAAAATTGACTTGGACCTTAAATATATTCATATTAATCCTATATGAATAAGGTTGAGGTTAAAGCTTTGTGGGCGGTACTGACGTCAGTTTTAGTAACGAGACAGAAGTGTTAACAGAATATGTCTCTAATTCCAAACAAAGCATACAAAATGGTAGGAGTAATTATCTTCATTGAGATAATAAGGAAAAATTCAAATGTATCAGTTTCATTGTTAAATTGAGTGCATATATTAGACCTGTTAAGGTATTAATTTCAAATATGAATTCACTAGTGAGAATAATGCATAAAGCCTGTAGTAGTCAGGCGTTAAATTTGTTTGCAACATTTGTTTCATTGGAGTAAGAATCAAGTATTCATATCAATGGCTAAAATCAAAACAGGAAAGACTTTTCTTAAGATTTTTAAGGTGGTTATTTATTGAAATATAAGTGGAGGTATGGTTTTTTAGGTAATCAAGCAGAAGATACGTGGGGTCGCACTGGAGATGGGTCCTTATCTGATTCATGGAAAAATGGTTTGCAAGGAAATTATGATTCTCGCATTGTTAATCGTCAAACAGCAACATCATCACATTCAGTTGCACCATGGCAAGATCCTAAAATGCTTAATGTACTCGGACATAGTATTCAGTCAACTTCTGTGTGAGTCTTGTTCATCTCTTCTTGAAGTAATCAATCCTGTTTCTTAGATTTCAACGTTCAAAATTCTCAAAAGTATCGTAAATAATAAATATACATAATTGGAATGCAAATCATTTAGTCACTTTAATAATTGAGTTCATTTTCATTTACAGATATCAGCAATCAAATCGTGAAGAACGATTTGGTCAGTATGAACAAGAAGGTGGCTTTCAAGGTTATAATGCAAGTGTGCAGGGAACAGTAGCTTCAACAGTATCTAGTGCTATTGCTCAAGTTCAACCGGTATCATATTTGCTCATTTTTTTTAATTCATTTTTTTCTATTGCATAGAAATTTCTCTAGAAAAAGTGAAACAAAAGGTATTTTATCTAGATCTATCAACAGACGAACGTTGGGACACCCTCAGTACTTCAGAGTCAAACATTACCGTTACCAGCATCAATTTCTGGTCTTATTGTACCACCATTACTTGCTAATTCCTTACCTACAGTTGCCACTTCAACACAGTCTACAGTTGGATTACCTGATGCATTTGTTCCACGTTATGCTGGATCAAATGGACCGATTTTCCCAGCTCTATCTACTCAAAAGTATTTTTTTTTATATCAGTAATGTTTTTAAACTATGATTCTATCTTTTCTTGATATCTTAGCATTTTAATTACTTCAGGCATAAATTTATTCGATTTTAATGCTACTTGATCATTTTCCACATGATTTCATATGGTGACCGATTTATTGTAATTAAAAAATATGACTCTCTCTCAGATATTGCTTTATTTTAGCGAATTAACAGAGACAAAGGAGAACTATTATATCCAGCTTACTCGACTTCCTTCAGAACTTTTGCGACCATCGGCACTTGAACATTTTCTCCGCCCATCAGTTCCCCTTACTTTATCATCAGTTAAAGTTGTGTTCGATCCCAAAGGTTGCTTTCATTGTCCGTAAAAGTTTAGTATTCTGTGTATTATTCTCTTACAATTTAGAGTAACGGAATCTGAAATCAGAGAATATGTTAAACTTTTTGTCAAGGTAACGGTGTAGAAAGTCTTGAAGTAAAATAACTGAAATATCTCCTAATTTTTTATGATGCATAACCTTTTATCCTTTGAACATTAATCTTTTTTTGTGAGCATTGCATTAATTAAGATATATTAATTATTAATTAGGTCCAATAAAGATTTTAAGGTTTTGCAACTTTTATCAAATAATTTCTTCAACTTTTTAAATTTGACTCGTTGAAGGTTTTCCTTTGCACTCGCTGGTTCGTTTCGAAAACTCCAAGGATGCCAAAAATGTATTGCACAGGGATGGTGAGCAAGGCATCAGGTAACATTGAGATGCTAATTTTTAATTTTCTCTTCCTATAATTTTTCATATACAGCTATTCAACAGACTTTTTTTAACGCTGCAGAATTCGATCATGCTCCAAGAAAATATTCGATGAAGCAGTAGATGGCAGTTTACAAGTTCCGCCAAATTACCTTCAGATCTCGAAAGATGGCAATTTTCATCCAGAGAGAAATTCTCGTGTTCCACCTGCTTCACGTCATTATCGTAGTCCTGTATGCTATCTTCTTCGAAAATGTTTTTAACAAATAATAAAGTCTATCACCAGTTTTCTTTCATTTGGACATGTATTTTGTCGACTTATTAGAAACACAGTTAAATTATTCAATATTTAGCTATTTACTTGACTTCAATTGCATCTTAGGAACGACGTGATTTTGATGGACGATATGATGAACGTCCTCGTATGGCTCGTGAATTGGATCGTTTTCGTGGTCCTAAACACGGTCGTTCGCGATCTCCGCGAGATTATCGAGACTACCGGGAAGTAAAAAGACGTGGTGAATGTGGACGTTATTGCATCGAGTTTACCAATTTACCATTTAGAGTGACGGAACCTGAAATCAGAGAGTATGTTAAACTTTTTTGTAAAAATAGCAAAAAAATTGTAAATTGAAATAAAATAACTGAAAAATCTCTTGAATTTTTCACATACTTAACCTTCTGTCAAATTTCATCAGTTAAGATAATGGTTAAATACACATTTAAAAATTTTTAATCCCTTAAAAAACGTTTGATTTTTTCTACTAAATATGATTTATTATGAAAAAATTATTGATGACTTCAATAAATTTTAGATTTCTTAGTCCTCGTTGTGAACCAGTAAAAGTAACTCGTGTTTACAATGAAGATGGTCAAGCATCAGATCGGTGGATCGCTGAATTCACTACATTCGAACAAGCAGAGAAAGGCTATCGTGTTCGAGGCAAAGTAGGTGATCGACCGATTCGTGCCAAAAGGTTTGTTTGACGTTTCGTCATTGTGCTTCAAAAATTTTTTTAAAAGTTAGTAAATGATAAATATTAGAGATGCTATATGATGTTGTACACAGATTGAATAAGGAAGATGAAACAAAAGGTTTGAGGCAGTATGAAGTAGGATTGTTTATTTAGATTAACGAATGAAGACGCTGACCAGTTGTTGGCAATACCAGATAGGTTCGGAAGGCAAAAGAAGGAAGAATTTGAACGGAAACATGGAGAATCAATCATAGCTCCACTTCTTGATTTACCTAACAGGACTTCTGAAACAGGTTTTCATTTCAAAGTTTCTTCCAGAATCAGTCGTAGAAGCACTGGTTTGGATAAATTTTTTTTTTGTGATCCATTGAGCACAGACATACAGAAAGTGTGCTTTATTTGATAGTCTTAATCAAAGATTCAAAAATTCATTTTTTCAAAATTTTCTGAAATTCAGGTCGAGGTGGTCGTGGACGAGGGGGGTTGTGTAGAGGTGGCCTTCTACCAACATACCATGGTGAGCGTGGATTAGCAGAGGTACAAAGTTCTAGTGGTTTAAATGGGACAGCAAGCACTTCTTCCGTAGCACCACCTCGTTTCCCCGCGTTCCGTGGAAGTCGCATGCCAGGTTGGATCTGATCAGTATTATTTTGTGCATTCATTCGAAATCAGACTCCATTACTATTTTCATTATTAATTTTTAGGAAGTCGACCACCACGTCCACCACTTATTTCTCCACCTTCGTTTTTCGGTACAACGACACCATCCACAATACGGCAGCGTGGTCCACCTCCATCCAACCGTGGCCCACCTCTTCTTCGAGGTCCTCGTCCACCAACATTTCATCCTCCAAACAACGGTCCAGCTGGACCAATTCCGTCCATTCCACCTCCAAGTGTAAAGTCATGCATAATGATTGAGAACGTTCCTGATAGTAAAAATGATTCGGATGTTGCCATTTTGTTGAAATTAAATCAAACAGTACGAGGTTAATTATTAAATTACTTATGTTTATATTGTTAGTAGTATTTTTCGTCAATAAAATCTCGGTCTTTGTAATAAGTGATTTTTTTAATATTATGGTTGGCAGCAGTTGTCAAAAATTGTCTTGCATTTTTTTTAATTTTTATATCTCTATTAATAGCTTTATTTAAGGTACACTTCGAAGGGCCGTTGATGGGGTATACTATGTTGATATGAATACCATGGATGAGGCTACAAAAACTGTCCAGTTGTTTAATGGATTAAAGCTTGGCGATGTTGCCATCACTCTCACGGCAATTACTCGGCAACAGATGCAGTTGGGTGTTGAGAAAAAAGTTGAAGTGGTAGGCACAAGAATATTTGTTCTCATAAGTATTTCTAATTTTTGTCTTTTCTTTCTCATGAATTCAATTTTAGAACAGAAATTGTAGATTTTTAATTCGATTTTTTTGATTTACTTTTTATTTGACTTCTTATTTTGATTTAATTTCTCACCATTTTACTAAAACTGCATGAGATCAAATTAATTTTTTATTGCCGATGAACTAATTATAAAACACTGAGAAAAATCAAAATTTAGGTTGAAATGTTAGAACCAGAATTGATAGCATCAGTAGGAGAACCAGGCACTGTTATTAGTTGTCATGGTTTTCCTGCCAATGTCACATTGACCGATGTAGCTCAGTTTTTTGACAAGTATTCACTGGTGGAAAGTTCAGTGAGAATAAAATTGGATGACAGTGGAGTGCCTACCGGAGAATGTCTTTTGGCTGTTGGCACTCCACAGGTTCGTACATTCAGTCATGACAGATTTTTAATTCTTTCTAAAGATTTTTCACTATGTTTTTGAAAATCATCCAACGTGTTCACGGGTAAAATGATAGACATTTTGTATTAAAATTTATGGTCATGTCGAAGAACAGTTTTTTTTTAATCACAGGAATTCTTGTAATTCTTAGAGAGTAAATTTAAGCATTTTTAGTGATGTGTAGAAAAATATTCATTAAACAATTTTCGAATTACAAATGTCAAATTTTAGGAAGCTAGTAAAGCAGTAATGCTTTTGAGTGGTCGGAAGCTCGCTGGTTCAACGATCACGATGTCTGTCGTCCGAGCAGCAACCAAACAATAATTCATCGTAATTAAATATTCCCAACTGCCTTGTAATTAAATTTAAAACTTATGTTTAGAATCTGAGAATGCTATGAGCAAGTCATTTCTGAACATTTTATTTTTATATGTTTGTAACCAAATGATTACTTGATGATGTTTTTCTGCAGTTAATCGTTTATTCGTAGTCTGAAGTTATTACATGTAAAATTGGTTGATTTTAAAAAAAAGCTTCATTTTGAATGACTTTGTCTAGTTTAGAACATTGTCAGATTTTAAGAAAATAGTTTAATGTTAGATCATCCACTGTATTGGTTACTGATGTTTGAAATTAAGGGTTAATTGAGTTATAAATCGTCTAGCTTGTACTTCAGATTAGTTTATATTCTCACGTTTTTTAATACTCCATTTTCGTTGCTTTTATCTTGTTTGTGACATGATTCTATCCTCTTTGGGAACGTTACTGTTTTCTACCGATCTCTGGGCAATTATTGATTTGATTAGTTTCAATATTTTTTGTGATAAAATGTTTACCTAGCCTTCTTTGCTCTGCAATCTTGCTCCGCACTTTTCGTATTTTTTTTGTTATACTCATGTTCCTAATTTCAGGTTTTTAGTTAATTAAAATTAACACATTAGGTTAGTTGCATTATTGAATATGAGCTAAATTGATGACTGTCCTAAGTACGTAATATAAGGAGGCAGCTCTCGTGTTTTTTCACTCCATCATCACTTGTTTTAATTTTACAGACGGCTCTTTCTGTTTTATGCATAAATTTCAAGTGTTGAAAACGTGTTTAGTGCAGCGTGTATTTCAGCTAAGAGTTGTACACCGCTATAAGTTCTTATATATTTATAGAATATTTCTTTATCTCCTTAATAAGTAATAACAATTTCGCTCTTTCTTTTTACATGAAGTGGTAAGTTTGAAGTATCTGGAAGTAAGCTACGATATAAGTTAACAGTTCATTTGATACTATTTTAGAACGATGAACTTGGGAATCTAAGAAATCGTACCATAGATACATTCATTTTTTGATCCATTGGAAGCTTTATATGTGATAAACATTTATGTACTAAATTCTAAATTTATTTTGTCATTATAGCCATTAAAAGCATACTTGAATATTTTTTTGGAATGAATAGTACTATGCATTATAATTTGTCAGTTCAGCTAATTAGTGTTACGAATATTGAGCATTCAGTAATGTTTAATGAATTCAATGACTAGTTGCAAGAAAATCTTGGATTCTGGACATCAGTTAGATTTACTGGTGAGAATTAATTAAGTGATTTCTTGACTAAGAAATCACTTAATTAATTCTCACCAGTAAATCACATATCTTAAACATTATTTGTACAAGGTCCGCTTCAATAATCACATATTTCAAATTGCTCTACCACTATGGTTAGATTTAACATTTTTTGACAAGATTACGTTGTGCATTACTTACCTGGACATAAGATTTATTCTCTAGTAGATTAACTATTGAAAACTTATGCCGTTTTTTGATGGCAAAGTTCTGAAACTGTAATGTTTCTTCCCTCGTGCAACAATTTATAGTTGTTATCACAGAAATCAGTATTAATTACTGAAAACACAATAACTAATATTAAGACCAAATTCCACAACGAAACTGCATTTATCTTATGTTTATTTTCGAACGACCTCATAATAAAACATCGCATGAAATGCAATTCATAAACTCATCTGTATATTTATTATGCAAATTTTATCTTGTAGCATAGAAATCAGTATTACAACAAAATCAATGAATTAGCGTTCAAAAAAGTTTACGTAAGCAGTTCTGATGGATTGCAGTACTAAGAATATAATAGAATAGTTTAAGAACGAAGTTTTAGGTGCTATGTTTGACCAGTATTAATTATTATGACAATCCAGTGATAATTCAAAGCTCATTATCAGATTGAGTTGATTTGAGATTGCAGTATTGATGGAATACAGTTGAATCATTAATCTGTTGAATGGTGTAAGCATTGAGATGCTCGAAGATATTACTTACAGCATTACGTCGAAGCATTCTTATGGTTCCAGGATGCAAAATTGTTTTGCAGTCATCATCCAGGTAGCATTTCGCAAGCATTTCATTAATTCCCATTATTGTAAATTCGTTTTCTTTTGACAATGCATCAAGCATTGCTGTAGGTTCTGATGATGGCGCAAAACTTGACGTCATTTATTAATTTCTGAAATTCGTTTCATTCACTAATGATTCCATAATAAAAATAATAAATAAATAAATAAATTAATAATAATAATAATGGTAACGACACTGTTAAAATCATATTTTGAATTAATCCCTTATGTAAGACAGGTTAAAACTGTATTAATAATTTCAGTTCAAAAATAATTTGCAATGCAAGAGCAAAATAAAACTATACTACTGATTGTTAGCAAGACTCAAATTATAATAACTTTGAATTAACTAACTATAAACTTGACTTCTGAAAAATCAATACAGATCAGTTGACACCAACAATATTAGAAGAGAAGAATACACAAGTGGTATGTGTGTGCAAACATAAATACATGCGTGTGATAATGAGATCAAATATTTTCTCCAAAAAATTATAAATCCATTCATTCACTCACTTATTCGTCAATCTATATTGCGTTAAGTTTCTTAACGAAAGCATTTCTACCTTTTACACGTGACGTCAGAACTGCTTACGTAAACTCTTTTCGACTCTTCATGCAACAATATCCCCTATTGACGAAATACGAGATTTTTTTGATTGGGTAATTGCATGTAAATAATATTTCTGTTACGTATTACTTTGTATAATCTTTTAATGCAAATTTAGTAAAAATGATCTGTACTGAAGTGTTAAATCGCTATAATCTCTCTTTTTTTTAACAAAAATGTTTATAATTGAATTTTATTTTTTATTCTCAAATGCTATCCAACTTCATAGACAATTTATGAAATGTACATGGTGATCACTTTTATCACTTATATTTGAATTTTAGCTTGCAAGGTAATTAGTGGTAGATTCGAGCTGCAAGGGTAAATACTGTATATTCAGTTTGAAATAGCATATATTATAACAAATAAACAAATACTTCAAAGATTAATTGGTCTTACAAGTACTGTTTTTTGACAGATATTTAAATTTACAGAAGTAAGATGATAATTTTTAGGTGTATATCTATCTATCCATTTGCATGGCAGAAGCCTTTCAGTTAGATTGATATTCTGGCAATCAATAGTTTAGATCAAATAATAGTGCCTTCATTGATGGATTATTTCAGTAGTCACAAATACAAGTAAGCATTTGTATTCTTTCTATTTTATTTAATATGTATTGCATTGATGCTAAGTGTATACTACAGTTTTTATTGTCAAAATTTTTATGCGAAAAAAAGAATTGCTCTGCTTTTTAGTACTTAACCAAATAACTGAGAAGCAGTTATTTCTCTTCTTTTAGTGTGAAGTGTGAGAAAAAATATTTCCTACTACATTTCATGCATAATGAAAAAATATTAATCAGAACAAGATTTTTACTGGAGCAAAGCATGATAATAGTGATTTCAAATCATTACAAAATTATGCAAATTACTATTTTATGGTATCATGTTTTGTAAAATCATTGTCATTTAATAACGGTAGAAAACTTATCAAATCTTGACATAAAGATGTTCTTCATTTAAAATTAAATTATCTTATAGAAAATGAAAAGAGATAATTTTTATAGACTTTTTCGTATAATGTGAGAATGATCGATCCAATATGTAGTATTCTATAACGAAGTACTTACTTATACGAGTCAGTTTTAAAACTTTTAAATGAGATCAAATGTTGTATTAAATTGATTTAATATCATTTCTACTACTATAAATCACTATACATAAATTGAAAATCAGTCTAAAATGTATGATTCCACAATGTATTAAATTGTTTGCCTTATATAATAGACAGAAATCATCACACAAATGAAAAAGAATAAATGGCGTGTCTCTGTAAAAAAAAAAACAGGGATAAAGCAAAGTAGAAGTACATAACTATATATCATGTACTTAACACCTGATGTTAATTTATAAACTACAATGAAGTTATTATCTTGGATAAACTATGTAGCAAATTTTTGTCTGAAATTATATAACAGTTAAAAAAGGCTGCGACTCGTATCGAGAACTTTTCTGTATAACCTAATTGAACTATCTAATTACTTTTGTAGGCTGTCTGACAACTGTTAAATTGTTTCAAGGTTTACTTTACTTTAAAAATTTTGCCAATTTTCTCAACTTGTACAAATCATGTTTGAGAAATGAATTCAAAATAATACTTGGACCTGAAAAGTCAAGTTTACTGCATTATTTTTGGAGCTTTGAATGTTTTTGTGACTGTTTACTCTCTTCAACTATATATTTTCATTGGAAAAACAGAATAATCCCAAGCGTGATGGTATTGGGAAACTTAAGATATTTTGCTCACGACTATTTAGTTATACAACTCACACCATACTAACGTCATGCTATGGAAGACAGTTATATATCTATAACAAGTTTCAATTAGCAATAACTGTTTACAAGAATAAAACTGATACCGAAGAGTAAGCACTAATATGAATGCTTCTTGCTTATTTTCTCATATTTCTTGTATTCAAAAACCAGAAATAGTTTTCCAAAAAGACTGGTTCAGATTGCTGCATGCAAACAAAGTATATTGTGAATAACAACACTGTTAACTTTTATGAAAATCTATCACAACCATGTAATATCACTCTACTTATATTTTTAATACAAAGTGAAGGATCACCACAGGCTGGTCGGACACATTTTCAGATCTTAAGAAATAGTTACCACTGAAAAAAAAAATCAACACATCGAAAAAGCTAAAAATCTAACAGATCATTGCCAGTTTAGTAATAGAATGATTCTACTGGTTTGTACTAAAAAAATAACATCAAATGAATTCGTAGGTACAAAGGCCTAGCGCGGTAACAGAATAATAGAAGCTTATATATATACTCACCGAAGCTATTAGCAAATCACACATTCTGGAGAAACAGGAACTAGTTGACTTTTGTATAAAAATATAGAAACCTCGACTCCCCAGTCATCTGGTCAGTTAAATTTCTGTCTTCAGCTTATCCAATAACGTCTCTTAAATTTTCAATTTCAATAACTAAGATTTCTTCCTTTCCAGAAACACCCTGATCGATGCTGAAGAAATCGACAACATAGATGACGAACAAGTGACTCCGCTTAGAATGCCATATAACCAAAAAAATATGTTATTAGCATGTTTTAGTGTGAGATCAATTTGCGTAATAGTCACTACTTCCGTTGTTTCGTATGCTAGTTTTGACAAGTAACAGTTCAATCCTTTTCTATGGAAACATATAGCACAAGATGAAAGAAAAATATCAAATAAACACACAATATGAGAACAATGAAAAGATCAAAATTTCTAGGAAATACACAAAGTAGGTAAACACTGAATGCCTCTCAACAAATAAAACAGTGATACCAGCTGAATCTTCGAGGAATGCTTGCAAGTCAGAAACTTTATCCAAAACACACCGAAGTAGGCCACTCTAATTTATCCACATAACAGAAACAAATGTCGAATACTTGAAGGAACTGTTTTCACATATGTACTCTGTTAACTGTTTTCACATATGTACTCTGTTAACCCGTAGCTTGCTGTGCTCGTTTTGTATACATACAATCAGCTTTACCTGTTACACACTCTTTGGTAACGTGAACACATTCAATATCACTCCCGGGTACCATGAACTTTGCTTCAAGCAGCACCTGAGTAATTTTCTTATTTGAGAAAGTCAACAAAAGTTCTATACAACAAACTAATATTCAGCAAAAACTCTTTAGAAGTAGGAAATTTGCAAACCTTTTCCACAATAGAACGTAAGGCACGCGCTCCAGTTTTACGTTCTATTGCAAGCGCAGCAATTTCGTCCAATGCATCTGAAGAAAAAGATAGATCCGCACCATCCATGGCAAATTCTAGCTTCTTTTGAGCAAGTAATGAATTCGAAGGTTCAGTTAACACCCTTATAAGCATGTCCTGAAATCTGATCTCTGAAAGTGTGCCACATAAAGTAATTGCAGACGAATAACTTCCGAACATCTGATCTATTAAATGACAACAAAATAACAAATCTAATAAAAATAGAGAATATGTGGCACACTTGAAAACTATAGAAAGTTCAAGAAAAAAACTAAATTGGATCTCCAAAAGTAAGCACTTACAAAGAATGAAATAAAGCTACTATTTCAAACTATATCATGATTGTAAAACACCTTATCTAAACTGTGGAACGGTACAATAACTGGGAAGCGTCCTACAAGTTCAGGTACAATTCCAAAAGTAATAAGATCTCCCTGATCTGCCTGCCGCAAAAGGTAGTCTCTTTTTTTCGAAACAGTTGCTTCTAACTTATCATCATCGGTAATTCGCTGTGTTCCAGACCGTACGCCTAAATGCTCAATTAAAAAGAATAACTTAGAATTTCATATGAGTGACAAAGTTATGTATGAAGGTTCAAAAAATTGATGGAAAAGATTAGAGATCAACAAAACATGAATCCCTGAATCAAATGGCAAAAAACGAACCTAAGCCAAGTGTTTTTTTATCTAATCGTCTGCCAACTATACGGTCCAAAGCAGTAAAGGCACCAGATGCAACAAACAAAATATCTGTGGTGTCAACCTGAACTAATTCCTGTTGTGTACTCACTGATTTACGAATGGTTTTCACATTTACAATTGTTCCTGTAATGGAGCTTTTCATGAAACAAAAAAAAACAAAATTGCAAAAAAGCTAAAGCTCAACATGGTTTCAAAATACTAATAATAGTTATATTAAGATCGGTGATAAACATGTGGATGACAGCAAATACTTTTACTTAATCCGTACATTGAAAAAAATACTCCTACA